TCATGCGCCTGCGGACTCATTTATAGACTGCTCATGCATTCTTATTTCTCTAGTCACAGTTCAACGGGAGCTGCTTCAAGACATCTTAAAACCATGCTGATCCACCCCCAGTCATTTTTGTCACCAGATGCCTCCGTCGCGCTAAAAAGACGTAGCGTTAGGACTTATAGGTGCCTACGAAGAATACGACATACAAAACCTGTGCGGCCCGTAATGGCGAAGTCAGCTGAAGGATCCTGTTAGACCGGTAAAATAACAACAAGCGTAGGCAGGTCTGAAGTAAAGGGCGAAGCTGCCAGTGAAAGGTAAGCGAATGAAGTTGTGGAGGCAATGTCTGTTGCAGGGGGGCAAACATCCTCTGCCCCCTCCCTCAGGTGGCCTTAATAAGTTTCCGGGAACGTATAAACAGGAAAATTTGGAGACCGAAACGATGTGGTACCTGGGCCAGACGAAGAAAGACATCGCATTTGGAAGACAGCAGGGGTAAAATGACCTTTCTAGTACCCGCGACCACGGGTGTCGTCGGACCGCTTTCAGTTAATAAAAAGTCAAAGCCAAAAGGCGCTTCATTGAGCGCCTAGAATGGAGGATAGACAGAAACCCCCCTACGAGCAGGGATGGATGTGCGCGCTCCAGAGTCAGCGAAGCGGCGACAGCAAACAAAAAGGCGACGGCTGAAATCGTGACCTGGGTTAGCAAGGTGGAGGTGGTGTGCATGGGGGGGGCGGGATGGAGCGGAAGCAGAAACAAGACGGTGGTCAGAATGTCCTCGCCAGTGTGTGTGCAGGATGCTGTTTCGTGGTCTATGCCACTAGCCTAGAGGTGGGGCGGTGTTGGAAAGGGTGAGGTCGCGCCGGAGCCTAGCCTCTATGTAAGACGCGCCAACAGTCGCAAAGCCAGCTAACGGGATAACCCGGTCCGAAGGTGAAGCAGCAGTAACAGCTACTGAGTGTGGCTTTTATGGTGCTGCCATTAGCGCAAACGGGCCACTTAGCTCTCTCTCTCCCTCACCACTGCTTCAACATCCATTTCCAGGCTTGCTGTCTTTGTTCTATCATATGAAAGTGGTAGGTCTGAGAAGGTAAAATGTAGTGGACTGCGCCTCGAGATAATGGCGAACCTCGTCACGTGCGACGACCAAACTGCCGTGTAGTGACGCTCCCAAAAAGCATACTAAATTGGCTACAAAGTCGTTTTACAAATTCCGAAGTGGGAACACTGCGAGGCTGCCCGAAATGCCGTCTAATGATCACGAAAACTGTGGTATTAGTTCACTATTCTACCTTTAAAGATACCATTTCTAACTCAATCCGCTTTCTTACTGTTTCAGGTCCTGAGAAAATGATTAAACTTTTACACCTAACCGTCTATTCGCATGCTATCAGCACCCATCTACTACTCCGACGCCATCTCACCACTGATTATTTTTTTCCATTCGCATATGCGTTAGCTTACAAATTCTAGTCTTGAAGAAAGCTTTTTTTGTTGTCTTAAATGCAATCTTCGGCGGAACAAATAGTGATTTGTCGGTCTATGCACCAAACCCCGCTTTAGGCTTTAGGAGCCTATACTTCCCACAGAAGCCCGATTAATTTGGGAGAATTTTGAGCTCCACTTGGCAGCATTGTTTTACCTTATCCCTCGCCGCCTTTTTCATATACTGTGTGAAGACAGCAAAATCTTCTGCATTCAGTGTGCCAAAAAGATGACCAAGAAGAAATGGGCGAGGATGAAGCACAAATGTCAGGGGGACCTTTCGAAGAGACAGATTTCGATTAATTTAAATGCACAAATTTATCCCAATTTCGATAAATACGCCTGATCGGTGGACAACGAACAAGGCGACTTTTTTCAGTAATCTAGAGATTTGAATGAAGTGTAATCCCCAACTAGATGTGCGTTGGCTGGGTGTACTTTCTGTGTCACCCAACATGCAGTTTAGGAGCAACTTTGTTTTTTTTTTCTCATTGTCGACAAAAATTGGCGTCTGGTTAAAGCTTTTTCAAAGCACTTTATCGAATTGACTGAAGAACAATATTGCGCATGACTACTTACTGTGCCTTCTTCGTTTTAACAATTGGGTCGTCTATACGTGCACCTGTATAATTTTAAAGTGCGTGCGACAATCGGCAGACGGCAGATTTATTACCCCACACCAGTTACTACAAGTCATCTCATTCCTCGTCATCTTGACTTCAACCACCCATTGACACATGAGACATGGGGAAGGTGGAGAGCGAGATTGACCCAACCCAGATGCATCGCCTAATTTTCTAATGGAAATCACCTGATGCGTTTTAAACTGTCGCGAAAATCACAAATTTGTCGTTTTAAAAGCATCCAACCGAGAGAATAACTCGGTTCTGAGAAATTGATGATGAGAAATTAGAAAGACCCCTCGGAGACATCTGGTTAGCAGCACGTTTGAAGCACGTGTGGACGTGGACTCAGCCTCGTCGATGACGGTGCTCATACCCATTTCCATTCGTATGAATTTTTGCCATGGGAGGAGGGGGCCGATTGTGAAAGAGAAACGAAGTGCTGCTTTGAAATTCACCATAACTATATCTCGCAGTCAGCCTGGTGTGTGCTTGTGTGGAGTGGCCGACCGGTGGACTGAGAGTCAGCCTAAAATGGCTTCTTTAATATAGCCCTCATAGCACTCCTACTTAATGAAATTCGAGCCCCCCCCTCCCCCTCCTCGTCTCTCATTATGTGACAGCTTGTTCTTTTGTGCGCGGACCAGAGAATGTGGTAGTACGCCTATGCGCGGGCTCACGCCGTGCGAGGTACCTGCACCCGATTCCGATCTCTGATCTTTTGGACTCTGGTCCGACACCGGGTACAGTTGAGTGAAGAGACAGGGCAGTAGATACAGCGCAAGTCTACGCTTAATATAACATAATTGACAGGTTTACCGTTTCTGCGCCCACCACACCGCGAGAAATACGGTTTACCTCGTCAGAATCGACGGTCGAAAACGCATACGTCTACTTTTCTTGTGTAGATCAAAGGTGTGCTCCCGGGAAAAAAAACAGGATCTTTCCTTTGACTCAGGTGCGGGCAATCGGACGCGTTTAGAAGTGGTGGATAGAAGAGCAGTGGTCATCGAATTCCAGATGTGAAATGAACGGACCGTCGAGTCAGACAAGTAAGCAGTAGACGGGCATGCAGTCCTAATACCTCCAGAAGCAGCTGGGCATCGGTATGGCAAATCGTTCATTCATATAAAGGGATAGCAAACTACAATGCCATTACGACATGATGAATGTCTGATTCTACCCAATCGGGCTTACTGCAGCCGTCACCCTATGTATTGCACCACCACCCATAGACAACGTGTGTCCGAGAATCTTACGAACTTTCATGAACACTGACGGCTTAGGTCATAGACTGAGACCGGTGAAGTGAGCATTGATGCTAACCGAAACAACAGTAGTGGTGGAGGAGGTGGGTCGTCAGGGTTTTAAATCGTAGGACAATCAAACTTTTATCATCGGCTAAATGCCTGGACTACGTGTGGTCCACGTAAAGCGATCGACCAAAGCATCAGCTAGCTTAAAATTTGTGGCTTATCAGGTTACCAAATTACAGGATAAATAGGACGTTGCGTTTGGACTTCGACACCTGTTTCTCACTGCCGCCTTACGGCAAATCTCGTAGATACAATTTCCGAGTGTGTGAAGTAATGACTGGACGGGGTGAAAGTCTGGTATCCGTGGTGAGAAGTAATTTGGATGATTACTTGCTTAACAAGTAGGATGAATTATCGTCGGTGGAAGGGAGCCCGAGGAAATTCCGCTGGCCAGGAAGAGCCCTTTTGCAGTTTGACGAAATTAGGAGCGAAGACTTGTGCACACTGAAAAGGACAGGTACCTGGGCGACACACAAGAACGAACAGGTTGTCACTTTTTATGCACGCCCCTTCGACATCGCCGCTGTTATTTAGCGAAAGGCTGGGAATTGTTTCTACTATTAAGACGCGCGTGTGCAGAGGGCAGGTGAAAAGGAAACAGTTTCCTATGGACAGGATAGATGAAATCGCCTTCTAACCACTTTGTAATGGCAAAAAGAGGGACGGTGAAACAAGGTGGAGGTGTGGGAGTATAGTCAGACCGACGCTGGCCACCCTCACCCTCCCGAGAATTCCAAATTTCTGGTCCAAGGCTTCCCATAGCGGGAACAACTGGAGAAGACAGACTTGTGGGAAGAGGGAAGTGAACAGTTGTTGTACAAAGTGGTTGGGTGTGTGGACGGGGTTAGAGGAGTTCGACAACACATACACACACAGCTTTAGGAAGTCCACTGTTGGGTGCATGTTCAACGGGTAACGCCGAGGAGTTAAACTTACTTACTTGTACTTTGAGGAGTTAAAACAGCTTGCTTAACTCCGAGGTAGTTAATAAAGCGAGTTTGGTGTTCCACTATCAAAGCAGAAATACATCTGTTTGGGCTGTTCGTCTGCTTACACTACTAGTCGCTTTGTGGCTAC